AGTGGTTATGAGGGCAGGCTCTGAGGAAATCCTAGCTCTGTCATTTGCCAAACTGCCTTAGATAAGTTGTATAACTTCTCTGAGCTTACCTGACACAATGGGACCTTATGGAGTTGCTGTAAGGATGAGGTGAAACGATACACATAAAGGGCTAGGTCTAGTGCCCAATGCATAGTTAGCAACCAATTAACGTTCAGCGCTGGTATGAAGGCAGTGATGATGCTAATGAGCTAGACATGACTGTGTACCTCTCAACAGCTGAACAGCTGGTTTCCCCTGCTTTTACTCTTTCCACCAACCGTTCTCCCCTTGACTCAGTATTCTCTGCATAGCATCCAGAGTTATTTGTTAAAAACACGCAGTAGATTGTATCATTTTCCTGCTCAAATCTCTCCACTGGCTCCCATTACATCTAACATCAGATCTGCAGCCCTTATTTATTACAGCCTACCGGGCCCCATGTGATCTGGCCCATCTCTCTGCTCTCCACAATTCCCCACACAGACCCCTCTACTTAGCTACAATGGCCTGGATCCCATTAAGTTCTTCTATCACCTTTTGCACGCCTGTTTTGCCTTCTGCCCGGATGCTTCCCCCACCAGATCTTCTCATCTTGTCTTCCCATTTACTCATATCTCTGCCCTAACTACCTTCTCACAGAGAGCTTCGTCATCTGTCCTCTTAAAAACAGTCATGACTCTTACTTCCTGTTGCTCCTCCTCTTAGGCTAGATTCCCCACAAAACAGAACCTGAGGCACAAGCTTATGCGCTGACACTTTATTGAGGAGGAGTACAATCCCAGGGAAGCAGGGACAAGGACACAAAAGGAGCAAACGGTGAGGTGAACAGGGCCCAGCTTTGTACTAAGTGTAGCCTAGTGCTTGGTCTTCAGGGATGCCTTTAGGCAGGACATAGGGAGCATTGCCTCTCAGTACAGACTGTCCAGAGAAGGAAGAGAGAATTTATCTGCAGGCCCCTATTGTACGCCACCTCCCACTGGTCAAGTCCACCCGTCAGGCAGGAACTCCCCTCACCTCTGTGTTGTAAAGAGTGGCCCCTCTAGGCAGCCACTGGGGAGGCCAGAACCCTAGTGTCCAGTGTGCCTGCTGCATAGGCATGGATGCCAGGGTCTCCTTGTCAGTTGGTGCCATGCGCAGGGCTTTTTGATCTGAGGTAGTGGGTGTAACAGCAGCGGGCCTAGCTCTAAGGCTGTGGGAACAGCTGATAGGGCCTCCCTGGCCAGGAAGCAAGGCAAGCAGCCCAAGTTCTGGTGTGGGTGGGGGTGAAGAGGTCAGTGCAGCTGCCCAGATTTGGGTGGTTTATAAACCAGCCCAGTTCCAGCTTCTCCGTCCTCATCTTGCATAGTTCTCTGTGTAGCACTTAAGACGGTCTGCCAGACTGTTGCCTATTCATTTGAATGGAGCATATATTCACCAGAATGGAATCTGCATAAGGTAGGCAATCATCTTTTGGAATGATTTTTCTTTTTTTTTAGATTGTCATGTTATTTACCGTTCTGTACGGTGCATTGGAAAACAAGGTCACGAGAAAAGTTTGTGGGTTTGTTTCCCTGTTGATAAAGGAGATTGGCCCTCCCTTTGCGCTCCTCCTGCCCTGCTCCCTGTTTCGTCTCTCTCCCCAGCCCCAGTAGGGTGTGATGCTTTGTGGTCTGGAGGCAGGGCCTTCTCATCCCCAATCCTCCCTGTGCACATGGAATTCTGAGAGAAGCTGAGCTTCATTTCCTGCTGTGATCAGGGCCTTTCTTAGGTCCCTGGCACCATCAATCTAGCACCTGGGAGTCGGATGGGACTTTTGTCTCTGGAACAATACCATGGTGAAGGGTTTTCTTGTTTATCTCCCTCTACTTTTACCATTCACAATTCCCCTTCCATCACTGCATCATCTCATCCATCCCAACTTCTTAAAATCCCTACTCAACACCATTTCTTCATTGCCTTGAAAAATTTCCCAAATCACAGTTATCTCTTGAATGAATACCTTACTTATCTCCATGCTTTACTTCTCTCCCTAAATCAAAGTTAAAAAATTATTTCTGAGTGTGATCCCAGGTCTAGGATTTGGAATTTATTGCCTACATTCCTTAACTTCTAGATGACTAAATGACTCATCATTTAAGAAATCAGCATGCATGTTAGACTTTAAGGGAAACCTTTAACCTCATAGCTCTTTTTAGATCAGAGAAGCCCTAACTTCTCTAAGTACTAGCAAAATAAAAGCATGGACTTGCAGAATTGAGAATGGCCTCAGAAGTTCATTTAGTATTACCACTTTCCACTGCATTCATCCCCAACTCCCACTTGAGAGATGAGGAAACAAGGCCCAGGAAGGGAGGTGCTCATCCAGGTTCACCCAGCCAGAGCGGGGCACCAACAGTCCCTGTGCCTCTCTGTCCAGGGCTCTGCTAAGATCCAGGCTGCTTCTTCAATCAACGTCATGGTTTGGAATGAAGATTTACTAAGACATTTTTTGGACAGGCAGCAAAATGTTAAATGATGCAAGACAAGGAAGACAGTTTCCTGCCTCCTCTCACCTTCTCACATGACCTCCCAGTCTGGCTTCTCATGGGTAATTCTGGGGACTGACTGACCGGCCCATGGTGGACCTGACCCATGGTTAGTGACAGGAAACTTTTGGTTGCACCTCTAGGAGGTGCCCTGTTTCCTTCTGGTCCCAGGGCTTGTATGTCACCTCTGGGTACCCTGCAATCTGAAATAACCTGTAGGAGACATGTTATTTGGCAGCAGTTTTTATCGTATGGTTGTGCTTTTGGTAAGAATAAAAATAGGAAAAAATTTTAAAATTGGCAAAGTAGAAAATACATATATTGGAGATTTTTAAACTTTTTGGGGCTTGTAAAAATACATTGATAACTTCCTTTGGTGTGCCTCTGAGTCTGTCTAGCTAAATCCCTCACTGATAACCAAGAGTCAGGGTTGGCGGAAGTCACCTGAACTTATTTGCTTTTAGCTTCCCAGTCCAAACTTACTGAATTGTATGAAAACAAAACTTAACTTTTTTTTTCTTTTTTTGCGAAGCATCCTAGTTGGCTACTGAGAATCTTCAGTGTGTTTGCAAGTCCTGAAGCAGAGTTTCAAGGAAATTCTAAAATTTTCTGTGTGAAATCTAGCCTATTTAATAGAGCAATTCAAAGAGGTGCCAATTTCTACTGGCATCTGATGCCACTTCCCTGAAGTCTTGCTCGATTTCATCACTCACACTTCACCTTTTTTATTCCAAGGTGACTTTTAGTTTCACTCCTATTTTATGCACAGTAGTCATGATAGCCCACTTCAGATGTGAGCATTCTTTCTAAGAGATATGTCGTACATCTGGTTAGCAGCAGCTACCTTGTCCTTCTTCTTTGGGAAGCCGAGAAGTTTGTGGAAGCCCAGTTCCTGTTCCCTGCATTAAACAGAGCTATTTCTGATCTTGGTCAGTCTGCAGAACCTGACTTACATATGACCCTGAGTTATTAAAGCCACACACCTGGAGGCCTGCCTGGATTATGTAATGGGACCAGGAGTCTGAATCAGGGACTTCGTGCTTAGAGCCGAGAACAGAGTTCTGCTTTTCCAAACACCTCACAGTGTGGGCAGGAGATGAACCCAGACTCTGAGCTTTGGGGCTCTATCTTGACCAGGACTTAGAATTACGTTTCAGAGGGAGGCACAGCGTGTTTCCAAACTTCCCTGCTTCCTTTCATGCCCAGTCTTTCTTCTCTTTTTCCTAAGATGGAAAGTGCCATCCCTTCCTTGATCCAGCTGTAGAGAATCTGGCCTCAAGCCTCAGAGTTTCAATCACTGGGTGGCAGGGATAGAGAGAGGGCTGGATCCCAGACCAAAACCTGTGTGAAGGCAGGGACCATGCTGGACCATCCACTGCTGTCTCCCCAGCACCTGGCACCGTGCCTGGTGCATAGGAGGGCTCAGTAAATATCTCTTGAAGGAAAGAGCAAATGTAACATCTTTTCCTCCACATCACCCGGTAGTTTCCCCCTTCTCCTGAGATTTAACTAACTTTATCCTAAGAAAAGTCCCTCTGCCCCTCGTCCAGGCCAGGAGTTGTCACAGGGGCATGAACAAGACACTGCTCCCCCCAGGCCAGGAAGTCACCCAGTACCCATACAGCTGGAGCAGGAGGCAGTTCGCCAGAAATTCCTGCCTGGCCTGGCTAGGGTCTCCCTTCTAAATCTGAGGCCAGATTAGGGCTACAGTATGACCCCTTGGGGGGCCCAAGTCCTTACAAAGATGCTCCCAGTTTATTCAGGCTCCAAGGCTGATCTCCAGAGTAATTAATGACTGGTTGGTTAGGATGTTCCAAAGTTGTGGTTGTTGAAAAGGGTTCCAGAAAGGTTTGGGAGCCCCAGGCTTGGAAATGAGGTCCCACTGTGAAAATGTCTGGTTCTCAGAAAGAAGGGACCCTGATCACAGCTTGGCCAGGCTCGGCAAATGTCACCTGGGACTGCTCCTGTGTGCCCAGGATTTTGTATGATTCTGCAGCTGGGAGAGGGCAGATTCAGGAGAGAGAAATGCAAACTTGGCTTTTTCGCAGGTTGTGGGTTCTCAGCGAGGGGGAGTGTCACTTGACTTTGCCTCCAGGGACCGCTCTCCGTGTGGTGTACGGCTCCACAAGCTATGGCCGCTGATTAAGACCAGCTGTGCACCTTGCGAGCACAGCCTTGGAGAACCCGGCCCGGGAAGGAGCCGAGAGAAGAGAGAGGTGAGGAAGGGTGTGTTGGGTGTGGGAGGGGGCTGTCGCTTGCCAGGCGACCCGTGAGCCAGGAGCTGGAACGTGCCGCTCGGTGGAGCGTGCAGAGATTGCCCTGGAGCGCCCGAGACCTCGCGCCCCGCTGCTCCGCGCACCTGCCGCGGGCCCTGCACGGGTCTGAGCGGCGGGCGGGCGGACCGCGCGCACAGGTGGCGGCGATTGGGCAGGCGGGGCCCGGAGGGTGACGTCACGGGCTCCGGTCCCGGCGGCAGAAATAGGGCAGCCGCGGCGTCGGTCGCGCAGCAGCGGGCAGAGGCGGCTCAGAGAGCCGGAGCCCCGACAACCTCCAGGGCGCCCGGGACCCGCCGACAGCCAGAGAGACCGACCGAAGGACGCAGGGCCAGGTCGCGCCGCCGCTGCCGCCACGGGGCGCTTCCGCCTGCCCAAGTCCGGCCACCTGGTCTTCTCCTCGGCCCCGGCCGCCGCAGGTACGCGGGTGCGGGAAGGGTGCCAAGCCGCCGCCACCAACTGGTCCGGCTGCGCCCCGCTGGGGTCCCAGCGCCTGCGGCCGCACGTCTCCCACAGGGCCCGGCGGCGGGCGCTTGCTTGTTTTCTCAGCCCGCGCGGCGAGAGTCAAGTTTGCCCGCCTGCGGGCACAGGACCACAGGCTACCCCGGTAGGGGCCAGGACTCGGGGTAAAGACTGGGGCGCCGAGGCTTGGGGCCCGGGTCTGCAGTAGGGACCGGAGTGACCTGGCTGGCGCGCGGAGCGCGGCGCAGAACCGCTGGGGCCGAGGCCGTAGCCCGCGTCGGGCTCCGAGACCCTGGAGGCGCTGCTCTTGGGCGCGGGACCCCTAGCGGCCTCGGCGAGCCAGGCTGGCGGCGGCCCATCTGCTCGGACCCGTGCCCTTGGCGCCGGGGTGCGGGGCGGGCGTGCTCGCCCCCTCTCCTCCCTCCAGCTTTGCGGGGAAACTTGCGTCTCCTCGCTGCAGCCCGAAGGGCTCGCTGCACCTCGCCTGGCTCTCACTTCGCCGGGCTCCCCCGCGTCTGGGGCTGAGCCTGGGGCTCCGCGGGTGAGGCTAGGGAGGAGGGACCCGGGACAGAAGCCGACACCCGGCAGCCGAAGACTCTCGTTCTGCCGGGCTGGTCGTTGCTCCCGAGCGAGCGCCGGTGTTTCCTGCTGGGGGGGTCACGAGGGAGCAGTGTGTTTGGGGGACGTTCAGGCAGGGGGCTTGGCCCTAAAAGAGCTTGTACTGTGGGTGATCTCCGCCTCTCTTGGCGCCAGCAAAGGAAACCTGTTCCAAGTTTCGGGGGGGACCTAGGCGACGCAGGCAGAGCGCTCCGTTTTGGGCGCGTGTCGCCTCGAGTTTGGGGCGAGAGAGGAGGGAACCTTCGGAGCTCCCTTCACCTGACTAAGAGGCGCCCGGAGCACGGTCGCCCGAGGCCTAACACCTGAGGACTTTGGCGCCCGCCACTCTTGCTGGGGCAGAAACCCACTGGAAGCAGTAGGGTTTCTCACAATGCCCGGAACTTGGGGAGCAGCCGTGCAGCGCGTCCAGCTGCTGGAAGTGCCCGGGGACCGGCGATGTGGGGCCCTGCTAGGTTTGTATCATCGCCGGGAGAGTTGGTCCCCCAGGAGCTGTCCAGCCAACCTCGCTCCTGATAACTGTCACCGACATTGATGAATTGCGCTTCCGCAGCCTTTCCTCCGCTCCCCTCTAGGTGTCGCTTCCGCTGAGGTTTCGGGCAAGTGGAAAACAGCGACAGTGGCTTTGGTCTGTTCCCGTCCTAAATTTGTTGCAACCCTGTGCACCAGGAACTGTACTAGATGGGCCCCGGAGGTACAGACATCCACCTACATTTTCTGGGCCAAAGATAAATAGAACTTCAATAGGAGGTGGCACGGTAACTGCTAATCAAAATGTATACCCGAGGGCGAAAAAGGATAGGAAAGAAATTCGGACTTTTCTGAAAAGTCCCAAGTTATTTTCCTACCATCAGGCCTAGGAGAAAGCCAGAGATGACTTTTAACAGTGTCTTCTGATCCTGGAATGGCCAGAGATGGGCTCTGAGTCTGGGTAGTGGTCAGGTGGAGGGCTCACCTGGGAAGCAAATGGTCACGGGAGTGAGTGATGTGGCTTTTATGATGCCAGAGCCGCAGCCACCCTCATGCTCTAGCTCAGATGGAAAATGTGAGCTAATGCCCCACAGGGCCCATGATGTCTGCTTTCCATCTTAGTTTTGTGGGCAGACCCTGCAGCATCACTAGACCATTTCTGTTTAGACACGCTCAGCTGAATGCTCGCTTTCTTCCCATACTAGGGAAAAAGACAGCCCCCTCCAAGAAGACTTCAGCCTGAGCCAAAGGTCATGCAAGAAAATAGTCTTTGATGTAATCTATTAAAATTGCTCATTAAAGTTGTTCCAGTGGCTTCTGCTCATTAAAGTTGTTCCAATGGCTTCTGCTCTCTTAGAATTTTATGATCACACTCAGTTTTTGTTTATTCCAGGAAGGCTCTTTTTGCACCAGAGAGGTGCCAGCTTGTTCTGGGCACAGAGAGAACTTCCGTCCCTTTGTGCCCTGTAGGTGGGTGAGGGAAGGTTAGGTTGGATTTTCCTACCTTGACCAGTCACTCACCCAGGATTCTTCCGTTCGTCCTCTAAGGGCCACAGGATTTTTTTTTAAAAAGTGATCTTCATGTTGTGATCTTTTCTTTGACTTAACACTATATTCCAGAAACTGGCATTGAATACTCAGGATTTCCTAAAAATCTACCTTAATTCCTACTTTGCCTTTTTTGGTATTTCTCTGCAAACTCAACCTTCTTGTGTTGCTTATGTGTGGTCAATGTGTGCTTACTAATTTAATGAAATTAGGTAGTTATTTGATGAGCACATCTTTCCTTACATTTTCTGCCTCAATGCACAATATAAGGCATGGAACTTCAAGTAAAAATCAAACTACAGTTGCGGGAACATGGTACTTAAGAGGTATAATCTGAATCTTGAAAGGATGAGAGTTACTGGAAGTCGTGTGTGTGTGTGTGTGTGTGAGTGAAATGTCACAATAAACAGGAAGACCATAGATTTATACATTGCACATAGACTAATTTAGGCATCTAATGTATTAAATGTTGGAACAATTAACCAAAGACATAAAGAATTAATAGGAAATGTAATGTAATTTCATTATGGCTTGCTGCAGGGTTACCCTGATATATTTCCATGTCTAATTTCCCTGTGTTGGTATTTTAAAGATTGTCTTCAGAAGTTTGAATCCTTTTCTTTTTTTCCTAAAACACTTATAAATCAAACTAGGGTCCTAACCTTCCAGAAGAAATTAATATATATCTTCCTGGTTTTAGGTTAGGGTTTATATGGCTCTTTTTTTCCCTTTTAACATTGGGCCGTCATAGAGAAGAGGACTGTAGGATTTTGGTGGTCTCCAGTGGATTTCTATTGGTTAACTACTAACATCCCATGTGTAAAATGCACCACCCCTCAAGTAATTGGCTAAAGCATATACATTTCCAGTAAGAAAGGTTGGAAATGCAGGTGCCTCAGGGTACACACCTTACCTGTTGTCTTCAAGGCTGGGTAGTGTCGCTTGGTTCTGCCAAATCATGTTCATAATTTCTGATCCTGTCAGTTACAATGAGAAGCCATTTCCACATAGCTAATCCATAATGTCTGGTTTGGTAATGTTAGCATATTCTGGGAGAGAGGCCGAGAGAGAGAACCCGTCAACAGTCTCCTCCAAAGCTCTGAAGGTCAGAAGTCCCGCTTTTCCCAAAGAAAGCTTGTTCCTGGAGGAGGAAAGAGAAGTTTGTATGAAACCCACTGCCTGTTTAACGTCGGTGCTTCTCTCTGGCCTCTGACCCTGTTCCTTAAAGACAGCTTACATGCCAGCCTCTGTTCTCTGGTGGGGCAGATTCGGAATTTACACATTCATGTTGCTTTCTTCCTAACCATTTGTATTCTTATGTCACATTGTTTTCAGCTTTCTTCAAAAAGCAAGTCAGAATTTAGAATGTTAAGTCATACCAATTTTTAGTACCTCTGCAATTTTAAATACGAATAAATGACAGCACAGGTATCAGCTTAGATTAGAAAACCAGAAAATCCTGTTGTTTTCACAAGGATCAGGTAGAGTCTAGTGGGGTCCATCCAGCACTAAAAAAATGCAAAATCAGTCTATGTAGACAGAGAATGCAAACATTCCATACGTAAGTTTGTAACAAGGTAAAAAACAAAACAGTTAGTTGCCTAGGGGCTTGGGTTTTGATCTAGCTCTGGCCGCCGATTTGGCTTCAGAGTGGGTGAATTCCTCAACCCCCCAGGACTAAGACCTGGTTCCCCTGAGTGTGGGGAAAGTGAGGGAACAGTGAACTACTTCTCTTGGAAATGAGATGTCTTACATATCCAGGGTTTGGGCTTTGAGTTATTTGAAAGAAAAGGTAGTCCCAGCTGTTTTATGAAAACATTCTCAGGTAGATTTATAACCAATCTTAGGACCTAGCATGCATTGAATGAAGCTTACAAACCTAAATTGATCTCAGAAGGACCTCTAGATTGCACAGAGGGTTTGTGACATTATTGACGGTACCTTCCCATGTCTATAACTGGCATCCTTGTATTTCCTTCTGTCTGTAGGCCAGTAGGACTATTTGCATTTGAGGAGTAATTTGTCAACAGATCCACTTCCCCCGGAGCGATTGTCTTTGCCATGTCAGTGCGCCCCATGAGCCGAGGGGCGTCCTTGCTGCCTGGCATTCTATGCATCTCCTGGTGGTTTGTTTTTTTCAACCACATTTCTTCTTGGCCAATAAAGACAGCAGCAATGAGGGCTGAGGAGAGCATGCAAAGTGGCCCATCCTGGGGTGGGGTGCAGGACAGGGGGCAGCTTGGCTTTCCTCCTTGCTCTGCTCCTCCATCCTTGGTCAGAGCCATGAAAACTGGAGGAGCACAGCTCTTGGAAGATCTCAGAAGAAAGGGAGACCTGGGGCACAGGGCCTCCTATAATAGATTTTCCCCATGAGGCTAGAAACAACTGTTCATTGAAATAGGTATTGAGAGGCAGCAGAGGATGGGGGCTAAGAGCACAGATGCTGAGTCTACCTGCCTGGCTTGAAGTCCCAGCTCTGCTACTTATTTGCCACATAACCTTGGCAGCGTACTTACCTCTCTGTGAACTGTCTTCTCTGACTAGGGGGTCATCATTGCCCTCCTCATCAAGCAGAAATGAGGGTTATGAGTTAATACCTGTAAAGCACTTAGAAGAGTGCCTGACACATAGTAATTGCTATATAAATGTTAACCAAATAGATAGCGGTTATTAGACAGATCATCAAAATTGATTTAGACCCAATATTCTTTTTTTATGTACCGAACTGTCATAAAATGTGAGTTGTGAATTTTTAGGTGGTTGCTGCTGTAGGTGTCATGAATTGTCACTCACCATGAGTATAAGATGACATCTAAGATGCATCTACTATGCAAATGAAGTCCGATATACTGGTGGCCAAGCTGAGCTAAACTTTACAAAGAAGCTGCCTAGGAATGTTTTAGTAGTTGACCTGGCTCACGTGTTCCCCTGTCTTCAAATCAAACCTTCCAAGACCTCAACACAAACCAGGGACAACTGCAGGTGCAGCGGGGCCGAGCTCCAGCTTCCTGAAACACTAAACAGCCGGTTTAAAGCCAGGGGTCAGGGTGCGCCATCCTACATGGAGCGATTTGCAGCTTGCCAAAATGTCAGTTGAAATGAATGGAATTTATTTTGATGCTATCCATTAATAATAACACATCAAACATAATTGGTCTTGGATTCCTAGGCAATTTGAAAGCTACATCCTAGATTTCATGGGTTGAATATTTCATAACTCCAGAAACTGACATCTGGACGTTAACTTGAGTAAGTTTTGATTATCTCGCTGTTTTCAGTTTACTTGGGCTCAAAGGCATGAGCATGTGTGCTCAGCCCAGGAGGACTGTTTGAGAGTGGATAAGTAGGGAAGAATTAATAAAAGTGGAGTAGGAAGCAATGTCTTTCTAGTTCTAGCTTGAGTTACTATTGTTGGTTTTTAAAAAAATTCCAAGCATCTAGTAACTGCTTTCTGCAGTCTCTGGAACACGGCTTTGCATTCAGAAGAGAATAATTTATGGAGAGTGGGGAGTTGCCCTATATTTTTAGAAAAACTGGTTTCAGTTAGGGAAAGACATTATTCTCTTTTCATCTTGAATGTGATGTTTCACTCCTCCCCGGTGCTGTAAGAACTCACACACCCCAGCTAGAGCACTGGGTCTGGAGCGCAGAGTTGAGTGGCTGCTGGGAACGCTCCTGCCCTCTCCCAGCAGCAGCCGAAACCACACTGTTCCGGTTTCTTCAGGTGTGGAGCAGGTGCTGATGGGAGCAAGACTGTGACCTTCACATTATATTTACTGGCCACCTGGACTATTTCCCCAGTAGCTTCAGCTTTGCCAACAGATGTCAGAGATGAACGGCTGAAGAAATAGATGTAAGAGTGGGAGCCTATGGACTCTTTGAAACGAGGAGACACCTTCTCTTACAAGAAAGTCATAACTGACAGTGTTGCCTTTTCATAGGCTAGTGTTATATGACCACAATTTTTAGTCTGACTTCTCCTGCCTGGGGGAATTTCTGTCTCAAGATGGGAACATAAAGCACATCTGAAGAGGCAGCTCTATTTGGATGTGGAAAGCAGCCAAAGGAAAACTGAATTGTGGCAGGAGTGTAATTGGTGGCCCTGGCCTCAGCACTAGTGATCGCATGATACCTCCAACCCCTCTTGTTTAGAGTTGGCATCCTGCAAAGCTGCTGGCTTTGCGGGTGAGCAGGGGTGGACTCTGCAAACTGGCTATCATGTCCCCCAAGCAGCTGATCCTCTTGGACTGGGATGCCTAAGCCAGGTCACATCGGCTGCTGGCCTCCAAGGAGCTCTGTGTTTTCATCTCCCCAGCCATGATCAGGATGCAGTGTGGACCACATGCGGTTAAGCACGAAATTGTGTGGTGCTCACAGAAATTAATAACTCCTAAAGGTTCCTTGGGTAAAAGTTGTAAATACTGAACCACGAGTTCTATCTGGCCATGTTTCTTAGGTAGAGATGCTGAAATTAAGGTTGGAATATGCTCACAGTAGAAACCTTAAAAAAGAAAAAGTACAGCTAATTGGGCAAGTGGGCTAGCCTGTGTCCTTGTCCCCTTAGCACAATGCCCAGAACACAATAGGGAAATGAATGTTTATTGTAGCTGATCCTTAGTTTTTTTATCCAGATAATTCTATGATTACTTTTTTTTTTTAAGAAATTTTATTGGGGAACAGTGTGTGTTTCCAGGACCCATCAGCTCCAAGTCAAGTAGTTGTTTCAATCTAGTTGCAAGGGCACAGCCCACCATCCCATGCGGGACTCAAACCAACAACCTTGTTGTTCAGAGCACACGCTCTAAACATCTGAGCCACCCAGCTGCCCCTCTACGATTACTTTGAATTGTCCATTTCTGGTCTTCTGGGACTTTAGACAATTTATCACATGAGCCTGAGGAAACACTTTAAAAGTTGTTGAAATTCCATTGTCCATGGGATACTTGAATTCTGCAAAAATGGTCTTGAAATGAAAAGATTGGGCCTTAGAATGCCATTTTGAGGCTTGTAAACTGAGTCATCAGCTATAAATGGGATGCCACAGGCTTAACATGATTCCTCATCAGCTTTCTGGGGAAATTCAAGCCTGGATCTATGGTGACATAACAGCAGGGACCTAAATTTCTCACCCTGGTTTGTTCTTGGAGATGTAGTGGTAGGTGGGTGGTGTTTCAAGTGAGTTTCTACAGAGCAGCTAGCATGTACAGAGCTCTTACTATGTGTCTGACACCGACCCCTTCAATCACCACAGCAAGCCTATGAGATACGTATTATTGACCCCATTTTAGAAGTGAGTAAACTAAGGCTCAGAAGCAATGTAACTTCTCCACAGGAGAACAGAAGGGTTGGTGCCAGGATTTAAACTCGGGTTTATCTGATTCTGGAGTACAAGTATGAACTAACTACCCTGTGGCTTGCTTACACTTTGCAATGCTTAATTCTGAGCCCTTGTCATTTTCTCAACAGACTCAACAAAATGAAAACAGGACACGTTTGGCTTCATCTTGCACTGCTCGGGGCTTCCCTGCCAGCTGTGCTGGGGTGGATGGACCCAGGAACCAGCAGAGGTCCGAACGTGGGTGTGGAGGAGTTGCAGGCAGAGGTATGGTCATGTAACAGCTGACATGACATTTCAAACTGATTGCTTTTCAGTGTTACAGTATCTGATCTCCCCTCCACCTTTAGTTTATATCAATGAGATTGCAGTGTGAATTTAAATCGTTCCCTCTTGTTGGTAGGGGACAGAAGGAAGCAACATGTGTTGATATGGACAGGAGATTTATATCATGCTGTAAGTAATGGTCTAAATCTCTCCAAGGCTGAAAATGCATTCCATAACCCAGCTGTAGTTGCATGGTTTGTCTTCCACAAAGACCCTCAAGAGAATGGCCTTTCTGTATATTTAATGAAACTCGGAAAATGCCGACTCATTGGTGGAGAAACCCCTGTGAATTAATGCACTCTTTTAATTACAGAATATGTTTTAAAAGAAATGAACTCCTTTTTGGGTCTCTAGATAAGAAGACACAGGCTGAGAAAGAGCTGGCAAATAGAGGTCCTAAGGGAGGCCACCTTAATGAACAGATAAGAATGATTAATGGCATGTTAGGTATCTATAAATGCTTCTAAAATGCTTGGAAAACTTGTTCTCAAATACCTCTCTGGAGAGCCTCGATACACTGCTAATTGCTTAGTGAACTCGGTCTTAAGTACTGAAGAGGATTCCTAAGCTGGGCCTCACCCTGCTCAAGTAGCAGGCCTCATGAATTTAGGGCTCACAGGGGACATAGTTTTTCTGCAGAAAAGGTTTCGTATGTGCTGAGCCTTAAGAAAACTACCTGGGATTTTCTTTATGAGGCTATGTCGTATCTAAGAGCTTCTCAAGGCATTTTAACTTCCATTATCTTTCTCGATACGTACCCTTGTTCCTTTTTTTCTCCTCTGTGCGTGTTTCCTGTCCTGTGGTATGAGAGAGAAAAATTACCTCAAAAAGTCAACATTACCAGAGAGTGAATGACGGTACACAGTGTATGGTAGGATTAATGCATTATTTGATCAAAAGACACGATTTCTCTTTCATTATTACTTAATTGTAATGCGATCCCAAGCCTACGAGCCTTAATCTTCAGGGAGCTTCAGAAGTAATTTACCGCACGCTTTTCCTGCTGAAGTTAGCGTGGCTTCCTTTTGTGGTGAGCAGATGATTAAATAGAAACACTATCTCGCCCATCTAAATCCATGAAGGACGCAACTTAATGCTCTTTTGAGAAAGTCTGGAGACTGGCTTGCTAGTGAGCACAGCATTTCCCATATGGGAACGGCTTAATCATTATTCTCACATCCATACAGAGAGAAAATGATCGCCTAAATCCTACAACTATATTGTGGAATATTTAATAGCAGAGCAAACAGGCACACACACACAGGTGTGCTTACTTAGACTTGGGGCTCATTGGCCCATAGTTTCAAATCACGTCCTTCAGTTAAGAGTCCAGCCAATTAAGGTGGGATTTAGTTGGAGGTAAATTGAAGGTAAATTAGTATCAACCCAGGACCTCTTTATCTTAGCTGTTACCACCCTAACACTTTGTGTACCAACAAGAAAGAGCAGATGCTGCTCATTCTGAGGAAGTGAGGCTTTTTGTTGGGGGCTGTGGCTTTACTCCCCATCATCCCCATTAACATAGAGCCCAGAAGAGGCCATTGGCTCCCAGGTCCAGGAATTTCAGGGCTTTCAGAAAAGGAAGTGATGCTCTGCAGACTCCCGGACGCAGGAACTACAGTCTGATTGGTCCAATTTTTTTTTTTTTTTGCTATAGGTTGTGTTTTTGCAAAGTGTTATACCTTCTACTCATTGAGTCATAGCAATGATTAAATGAGATGATAATGTGAAGGTCCCAGTACATAGGATGGCTCAGTAAACGTTTAGATAGAGATATAGAACATTTATTTGCAACTAATTAGTTTGCTGACCTTGATCCCACTTGATGCTTGTCCCCTCCATGTCCATAGTCACTAGGGTCCTCTGTCCACATGCCTGAATCATCCCTTTTTCTGAGGCTCAGCGCTGGCTCTTACCTTTTATCTGGAACCTTCTTTGACTATTGGTGACAGTTGAGTTCTTTCTCTGAACTCGTCTTTCCTACCTTTTTTATTTTTCTTACTGTTACATTTTTATTTTAGCATATGGATGAGGCCTATCTTATTTATCGTTCTCTTCCTCACAGTGTCAAATCCTATAAAAAGAGCAAAATAGAAGCTCTGTGTGTTTTTTAGCCAATCTATATTTTTTCAACATTTGATAGTAGTCATGACGTCACTGCTGCTTGCCAAATTCAGACTAGACCACCAAGGACTTAAGTGTGTGACGTGCCTCCCTGCCAAGAGGGCTCATTTCCAGTGGAGACACGAATGGTTGCCCCAGCAAACCTGTAGGCAGCCGGCCAAGCCAGGCTTGTATCTTGCCCACATCTGAGATAGTCCTTTGGTGTTACAGGTTCTTGGTAGTTTCTTCTTTGAATTGTAGTTATTTATATATCCATCACTCACTGCCCAAATCATGTGAAACTCCTTGAACAGTTTCCTCAGACAGTCTTATTTTCTGGAAGAATCAGAACCAACAGACTTTCCCGAGACTCAATAAATAAATCCACACTTTTCAGAAACTAAACAGTAAACTGTTTCTCTGTGTGTTTTCTTTCTGATAATAGTACTTTACAAAACATTCATTCACTTTTTAAAATAACTTGGAAAGCCTTTAAAGTTATTATACCAATTACTTGAATGACCCAAGGGTAAATAAGGATTAAATGACCAATGCGTGTGTGTTTGTACGTTTTTAAAGCAATTATAGCAAATGTGAATTTTGTTAAATTATTGTTTTATGAACAAAGACTGCAGTTGAAATGGCTTCACGGAGCGTGCCATTTTACAAACACAGATAAAAAGAATTGTAGCTGGGTGGAGTGCCTCTTTAATAAGAGCTGAGTGGTACAACGTGGAGTAGAATACTAATGCAATTCTGAATTCAGAGGAAACAATTTTGAGAAATACAATTTATTGAAATTCTGAAATAGTTATATTTCCCCCCACTTTCCCTTATGTTCTGGCTAATATAGATACAGTAGTAAAATCAATATTGGTAGAATTTTATATTTGGGGGGACCAGGAAAGTGAGAAGTGATATAGCAGCCCACAGAGACTTGCCCCCTCTTGAGGGGCAGGCTTTTATAGGAGGCCCCCCTGCACCCCCCCCTCCAGACACACACACTATGGGCCCCAGATGCTGTGTTTCTGCCACTCACCAGGCTCTAGGCTTCGATGGTGGCCATTGCACAGCCTTTTGCAGCCTCCATGGATCTTGCTGAACTTTTTCGGAATTGCTCCTACCCGTAGTTTCTAGTCATGCACTAAATAACTGCCAACAGTAATATTGGGTCCTTTAAAAGCTGTTAGCTTCATATGCCTCGGGGCTCACAGACCAGAGAGATGCTTTGAGGTCAGACACCATATGTTTTCGATATGTACAAATTCTGGTAGGAACGTCTTCAAGGAAAAGATATGTCAGGCTGTATCTGTACTAAGGACGACTTCCCTGCTCTCTAACCCCAGGGGTCAGCCAGAGAAAGTGTGATCCTCCCCTGGCTGACTGGCCCTTCCCCTCTCTGCAGGCGCTGGCCCCAAACACGGACAGAGGCCTGGCCTCACAGCACTCCTGTCCCTGTGAGGGCAGCTTCTAATTACAGACACCTTAAATGCTCTGGCTTCTTTCTGCATTGGTTGACCTTTCATGAAGAATTGGGCTGCTAACATTGGACATTAATGTTTTAAAAACTATTGTTTTCCCTAATAAGTATCATTGTTCTTACATATGTGATTGAATTTAAGGCAATGCTCCCCTGCCCTTTCTGGTAATATCCGCCCCCCCTCTCCCCCCACTACTCACCACTGACCCTTCTTTTTGATTGGCTGCCAGGAAGAAGAGCAGATCATCTGTGGGGTTTAAGGCTTCCAGTGGGCAGTTCTGCTCACTCGCGTCCCTGACTTTGTGGGCATGGAGACTAAACTCCCTGCTCCCTGTGGACAGACAGGCCCAGGCCAGATGCTGGGCATTTTCTAAGGCTCACATGCAGTAAAGGCCTGTGTGCATCTCACATGTGTGTCCTGTGGCATCACACTTCCTAAACACTCACTGATGCCAACTCCAGCATTTGACTGGCTTTCGAGAAAAACGAGACTCTGGGCAAAGTGTCTCAGCAAGAGGAACGCTGGGATTGCTGCCGGCACCCCTTTACGAGGTCCCAGCACTTCCACAAGTGAGAGTGGGGGTGTGGCAGCCTCTTCTCTTGGCCTTGAACACTGAGCCCTGGCTCTCTGGTGTGACAGAGAGTGTGGATTTTTGTTTCTCAGGTAGCACTAGGAGAGTATGACCGCCCATCTGCAGATGCGTAGTAAACCCATAATTTTTAAGGTGAAAGATGGTGGTGAATACTCCAAGTTCATGGGGCCCTTGGGTGAGCTGGTTCCAACCTTGTGTTAGCGCGGGCTGTGCCCCTTGCCAGCACCTCTGAAACTTCAGGGAGCTGGAAAACAGCCAGGGGGTCCAGTTAAAATGCAGTTGCTGATGCAGTAGGTCTGGGGTGGGTCCTGATAGTCTGCATTTCTCAGAAGCCCAAGGTGATGCCGTTACTTCCAGCTCCAGGGGACACTGGGCACCTGGACACCTAGAGGTATCCTCCCTCATGCCCCAAGCACACGCCCAAGAAATAGGATCCAGGTGGTGATTAGCCCTGGCCTTCTGTAGCTCTTGCCAACATGATGACACTGACTGCAGGCAGGAAAAGGAGAGCGATGTGCAGGCTGCAGTCACGCCAGGAAATAACTTGACATGAGACTGGCTTGGGGGCAGGGACAGGTAGGTGAGGGAAAAGGTGAATTTAAGCAGCCTGGGCTCAGAGTCATTTTCACCTATAGTCAAGCAAGCAGGTGGATAGATAAACTTAGATCTCTGAACCCATGCTTCCTCCCTGGCTTGTCTGCAGATGATTTAAATCCTGAGGGTCAGCCACGTCCTATGCGCTCACACATCACCACCTCCATGCC